CAAAGTGGATACATGACTTTGAGAAAAGCATTGGCAACAAACAAATGCAAGTATTTGTAACCAACTGATACACTTTCTATAGCATGTAAAGAAAGATGTTGTATTTGTTTTAAATTAAAAATTAAAAAAATTTAATAGAAAAAAAATCAATGGAAGAAAATAGTAATCCACTTTGATTATGGAATTATGGAATTAAAGTGTCAGTAATCATGGATTACACGGAGGGACCTATGTACCTTTTTTTCACTTGTGGAGGAGGAAGAGAAAGGCCAGATAAAACCTACATGCTTGTGGATAAATTACTTTAAGCAGCCTGACTTTATATTTGGAATTGGCTAGCAGAACTATGCGACTATGATTGACCATACAGTTACAGAGTGCCAGCTTTCCCCATTTCCAAACACATCTGATTGTTTTCATATTTGACAGGCAGGTACACTTAGCTAAGGGTGATGAATGCCTGGAGTTTGAGACACTTCAAGGTGTGAATCTAGTTTTTCAGGGAGTCAAAACTGATAGAGTCCTGGTTCAAATGAATATATAAATTATGAGTTTATAGCAGTTCATTCCCAGCATTAAATGGGATGAGGAAATAAAGTTGCAAGAACTATCGATGTTTCCATTAGGATCAATCTACTCCCCATAGAAAGGGGCCTGTCTATGGAAATTGATTTTGTTCTACCTACCTGGCAAATTGATTCACAATATGGGATAACTGGTTTATTTGACTTAGTTCTGACACTAGAGTCAGACACTAATAACTATGGTCAGTGAGGTTCTTAAGAGGGTCAGCATTCAATAGTAATGATTTTCTGGCATTTCACACATTAGTTTGGTTCCTTGGTTTGACTTTGCAGAAGTTACAGTACTTGACTAGATAAGAATCTGTTTGGTAGATTAGATTGCTCATTACCAGTGAGTTATTTGCATGAACTCATTTGGAGTATTACACTTCTGATACTATGATGTTGTTTCTTCTTATATTCCAGAAATCAATTGGGCAATGCTTGGTGATCAATACTGTATGTTGCATATGTGCCATCTCTGGCCAGAGATTACAGGAGAGTTGCTAGAACCTGCCTCAGTCTTCTCAAACTCAATTGCAAAGGATAGTCCATACAATTGGAACTGTATGTAGAATGTTTGCCATATTTCTAAGATGAAGCAACAGGACACAGCTTCATGATAGAGCCTCTATCCTATATCCAGAAGGTCTTACTGTAGTTTTAATCCCTGGTCTTTATAGTAAAACCAGGAAAAATTCAAGCTTGAAATTTTGGAAAACAGTGCAGACCATATTAAACCAGGCAGATTAATAAAATGATTTGCTATCAGGGACCTTCCCTTGTTCATATTCTAAAGCACGAGATCCTTTTTTTTTTTTGACCAGTCAAGTTGCCAAATGTATGAAAATGGATCTAACATTTCTTAAGACTGCTGTACTTTGTTTCTACCATGGAAAAAGACTCTTAAGGTACAACACAATTACAATAAAAAAATTGACAAATACGTTGCAGCAGTGCATGCTATGCATGGAGTAATAATCATTCCTACACTGCAGCTTTGCTTCTCTTGGAAAATATTTTATCGATGCCTGTCTTTTATACCTATGGTGATTAAAATCATAGGTTTGCTTTTAACTCTTCATTTATAAACTGATGGGTTTAACAACTCTAGCTATCATGCTTTCATCTACACGTTATTAGTTGCAAATACCTGTATTTCGCCTCATATTTGATGTTTAATCTTACCTGACTTCGTGGAGGTTGTACAAAGACTTGTATTTGCAAATGAGCATAGCTAGCCTCTCCACGTTGCTGTGTAGTGCTTGCTTGATAGTTTCTTTAGTATCATTGTATAGATCTGGTGAAATACCAGCCCTCTGAGAAGCTTCCCGCAACAGCTTCAGGTTTTTCCTCTGTGCGTCCACATTGATCCAGTAGCGCTTCTCTGCGATGCCATACGAAGGAAGCTCTTCTATTTTGGTGAACATTTTAGGGAACCATGTAGTTTCTAATTCAGAGGAATCTTCCTTTAATGCAATACTAGGGGAAGGAGTCCGAGGAGTGGTCGAAATTATTTTCTCCTTAGAAACGGGGGGCATTTTACATGGCTTAACATATATATCCAAAACAGAGGTTTCCACCACTTTCAATTTGGCACTCAAGGGCTTAGGTTCCTTCTGTCTCTGCTTCTCCGGCACCTTGCTCTTCTGCTCCTGATCTCTGCTCTCTTGCTCTTGCTGCTTTTGCATCTTCTGCTGCCAGTTTTGCAGTTGCTGCTGACAGCGCTTCTCCCAAGCGTGTTCGAGCTCTTGTTGCTTCCTCTGCTGCTCTTTTTGCCACTGTTTATACTGCTCTTCCTGCTGCAGATGGGCTTGCCTCAGGGCCTCCATCTGTCCCTCATGCTTTGCCTGTTGTTGCTGCCACTGCCTTCTCTTACTCTCATACTCCTTATCCTCCTCTTGCCAGATCTCCTGCTGCTTTCTGTGCTCTTCCTTCAACCGGTTCCAGCACCACTGCTCTTTGGCCTGCTCTCCTTGGAGGATCACATGCTGTTTGTACTGTTGTTGCAATTGCCTGACCTCTTCCTGCAATCTGCATTGCTGCTCCTTCTGCTTCTCTCGCTGCTCAGCCCAGTACTGCTGATAATGATTGTTCTGCTGCTGCAGGCGCCGCCACTGCTCAAGCTGCCGCTGCCAGAGATGCTCCTGCTCCTTGTGTTGCTCCTCCTTCTGCTTCCACTCTTCCTGCTTTTTCTGAAACAACCCCTGCCATTGTACCAGATTCTCCTTGGCCTTTTCTATTTGCTGACATTCCCCCTGTATCCGTAACTGCTCTTCTTGCATGCGTTCCTTCTCTGTCAGTAGTTCCTTCTGAACTTGCTGGTACCAAAGTTCCCTCGTCATATTTAACTCCTGTAAGCTCTTCAGTTTTGAATGGCTCACTTTTGGGGATGGCTCTTTTCCTTTGTCGACAGTCTTTGGTTGCTCCTCAGAAATTGGTATGCTTATTTTGCTCTTTTCTTGTTCTTCATCTTCCTGCTTCAGTTCCTTGACCCACCGATCACCTTCATCAGGCACATGTTTCAGAGATTGCTCCTCTTTTGTGAGAGGTAAAGCCTTGGCCAGGTCTTCTTCCTTCTCTTGCCCTTTAGGTATATCCTGTGGAGTGAACAATTCTTTGTCCTGGGGAGGTGGGACCAGAATGGGTACCTTCTTGGGAGGCAGGATCAAGATAGGCATGTCCTCAGGAGGTGGAACCAGGATGGGCATGTCTGGGGGAGGCGGGACTAGGGTGGGTATGACCTGGGGAGATGGGATCAGGGTGGGTATCTCCTGCGGAGATGGAGGCAGGGCCAGGGTAGATCTCTCCAGAGGAGTCGGGACCAGGCTGGGTATGACCTGGGGAGGCTGGACCAGGGGGGATATCTCCTTCGGAGGTGGAGGCAGGACCAGGGGGGATATGTCTTGGGGAGGTGAGACTAGGGTGGGTATTTCTTGGGGAGGTGGGACCAGAGGGAGTATGTCCTGAGGAGGTGGAGGCGGGAGCAGGGTAGGACTCTCCAAGGGTGGTGAGACCAAGGTGGGTATGTCCTGGAGAGGAAGAACCAGGGGAGATATATCCAGAGGAGGCGGGACCAGACTGGGTATTTCCAGGGGAGGCGGGACCAGACTGGGTATCCCCAGGGGCGGTGAGACCACGGTGGATATTTCCAGGGGAGATGGGACCATAGTGGGTATCTCCCCTGGAGGCGGGACCATGATGGGTATCTCTAGGGGAGGCGGAACCAGGGGGGGTATCTCCAGGGGAGATGGGACCAAGGGGGGTATCTGCAAGGGAGGCAAGATCAGGGGAGGTACCTCCAGAGGAGGCAAAACCAGGGGGGGTATCTCTTGGGGAGGAAGGACTAGGGGGGGTATATCCAGGGGAGGCAGGACCAGAGGGAGTATCTCCAGGGGAGGTGGGAACAGGGGGGGTATCTCTTGAGGTGGTGGGAATAGGGTGGTGGGTGGGACCAGAGGGGGTATGTCCTGTGGAGGTGGAACCAGAGTGGGTATATCCTTGGGAGGTGGGGGCGGAATGAAGGTAGGTATGTCCTGGGGAGATGGGAACAAAGTGACTATCTCCTGGGGAGGGGGAAACAGGCTGGGTAAGTCCCGGGGAGGTGGAACCAGAGAAGGCATGTCCTGGGGAAGTGGGCCTGGAACCATAGTGGATATGTCCTTGGGAGGTGTGACTAGGATGGGTATTTCCTGGGGAAGTGGGACCAAGAGGGGTATGTCCTGTTGAAGTGGAGGTAGAATCGGAGTGGGTATGCCCTTTGGAGGTGGAGGCGGGATTGGAGTGGGTATGCCCGGTGGAGGTGGAGGCAGGATCGGAGTGGGTATGCCCTTTGGAGGTGGAGGCGGGATTGGAGTGGGTATGCCCGGTGGAGGTGGAGGCAGGATCGGAGTGGGTATGCCCTTTGGAGGTGGAGGCGGGATTGGAGTGGGTATGCTCTGTGGGGGTGGAGGCAGGGTCGGAGTGGGTATGCCCTTTGGAGGTGGAGGCGGGATTGGAGTGGGTATGCTCTGTGGAGGTGGAGGCAGGATCGGAGTGGGTATGCCCTTTGGAGGTGGAGGCGGGATTGGGGG